CAGAGAAAATAATATGAGTGGAAGAATGTGGCAAAGCGAACAATAAAAACGGTTGTAACTATGAATGATAAACACTGCAGGTTTCAGGATTGCTTTACATGCAAGGGTCTTCTCTAAAGATGCAGATTCTGTGGTTTCTAAATCCAATTTAGGGAATTCAAGCTCTAAAATAGATATTAACTCTCTTGAATCTAACCTCACTATCCAGGCTTTATCCTACTAATCTCTCGATTCAATAGTCTAAACCATGAATGCATGAACGAACGTTATCATAATCCCTAGACAAATATTCATCTCTCGATGCAATACCTGTTCTATTTACTGAATTATTTCCAGGTTAGAATCCCATATGTCTATGCGAATTAAAACCCTAAGTTCATTAAATCATGTGGCCAACAAGATCAAACGCATTAAGAACAACTCAATAAACTGAATCAAATAAATAATACCACATAGTCTAGAATTAAAAACCAAATATCCCTACATATCAAATCCCTAACCCACAGCAAGGGAACTACTCGCTAAACATCGAAACGACAGGGTTCATATCAATAATATCAAACATCGTAAAATAGAAGAAAGGAAGAATGCTTAGTCGATTTCTCGGCTTCGTGATCTCCGTCTTCTACTCCGATCTCTTGATTCCTCATAATCGCCCCCTTTTCTTGTGATCTTGGTATGTTCTCTGTGTAAAGCTTGAATTAATTTTGACCTAGAGGCTTTCCCCTCTTATTTCCCTTCGGTTTGGACAAAATTTGAAATTTTCCTGAATCTGAGGGTCAAACCGATCGTTTCGGCAAAGCCAAACCGATCGGTTTCACTTTCTGAGCAATTTTCCAACTTCTGCGATGCCGAACCGATCATTTCGTCCATCCCGAAACGATCGTTTCGTGTCTCTGAGCAGTTTCGATGGGCTTCACGAATTCGCTCATAACTTCCTGCTCCGATATCGGATTTGGGTGATCTTGGCGTATGCGTAGATATTGAGAAGATCTTTCCAATGATATAGAGACCGCATGATTTGGACTTGTAGAGAGAAAGTTATTGGACTTGAAAGAGCTGATATTTTCTGAGCTTCACGTTTTCCCTGAAAACACTCCAAATGTTCCCGTTTCGTCCGTGATGTTCCGTAGTCCATGTTTTCCACTCCTTTTGCTCTTTTTATACGTGAAAATCTGTTTAAACACCAAAGAACACAACCATGCAATATCGAAGCCAAATGTGCCCTATAATGCCTACAAATATGTAAAATAGAGTGAAATACGCTAGACATCATATATCAAAACGTCACCCAAAATACGTGTTATCAAAGCCAACGGTGAAACATCTCAGGTTTTTTGGATCCATTTGCTATGTTCATATAGCAGAGCTTCAAAGAAGTAAACTTGAGGCTAAAGCCAAGAAATGCATATTTGTTGGCTATGATGAACATAGAAAAGGTTGGAGATGCATGGATCCAAATACACACAAGTGCATTGTTTCACGTGATGTTGTGTTTGCTGAAGTTTCCTCATACTATGGACCTAAGCAAGTTGTTCTTGATCAACAAGGATCAAGTTCTGAGACAAGAAGTTCAACAATGGAAAATTATGATGATAATTCTTCAGATGAGGTGCAAGAAGAAAGGGGGAGTCCTTCCCATGGAGACGAGGGACAAGGAGATCAAAGGATTACTCAACGACCTAAGAGAAACATTGAGAAGCCGGCAAGGTATAGAGATGAGAATTATATCAGTACTTACTCGTGTTTCTTTGCAGCTCCAATTGATGAAGAAGAGTCAGCTTCATATGAAGAGGCAAAAGATACACGTGAGTGGAAGAATGCAATGAAGGAGGAAATGGACGCACTCATAAAGAATGAAACTTGGGATTTGGTTCCAAAACCTGATAAAGTTCAACCGGTGTCTTGTAAATGGGTCTATCGGATCAAAAAGAAGGCTGATGGGAGTATTGAATGGTATAAGGCAAGATTGGTTGTTCGAGGATTCTCTCAGAAATATGGAGAAGACTATGAAGAAACCTTCAGTCCGGTCACCAAAATGATCACGGTACGTGCGATCTTATCTCTCGCTGCAAGTTACAATTGGAAGTTATGGCAACTTGATGTGAAGAATGCATTCTTATACGGAGAACTAGATACGAACATATATATGGAGTAACCACCGGGGTTTATTTCACCAAAGTATCCAGGTTATGTCTGCAAACTCAAGAAAGCTTTTTATGGTTTGAAACAAGCTCCTCGAACATGGTACGGAAAAATTGCTCAATACCTGCAATTTTGCGGATATATGGCTTCAAATTCCGATCCCAGCTTATTCGTTAAAAAACATGAAGGCATCCATGTTATTGTTCTGTTATATGTGGATGATCTGATCATAACAGGAAATAATGATGAACAGATTTCTCGCCTTCAAGAAGAGATGTCATTAAGGTTTGAAATGAAGAGGTTGGGAGAGTTGAACACATTTCTTGGGTTAGAGGTTAAGAAGATGAATAATGGAATCGTCATCGGTCAACAAATGTATGCAAGGAGAATTCTTGAGAAATTCAGAGTAAAGGAAGGAAAAACCCGTTCAACCCCATTGGATGTGAATATAAAGCTTAGGCGAGCTGAAGGGTCTTTGTTATGTGATCCTCGACCTTATCGTGCTCTCGTTGGAAGCTTGTTATATCTGACCATCACACGACCAGATATTGCATTCTCAGTTGGGCTTGTTAGTCGGTTCATGCAAGCACCAAGGAAATCTCATTTAGAAGCTGCGAAGAACATTCTGAAGTATATCAATACTACTCTTGATATGGGGTTGTTTTTCAAGAGTAATTCAGAATTTTCACTCTATGGCTTCACAGATGTTGACTTTGGTGGTGGTCTAGATGATAGAAGATCTACCTCTGGTTATGTCTTCTTATGCGGCGACACAAGTATCTCCTGGTGCAGCAAGAAGCAAGGTTCAGTGTCCTTATCGACAACCGAAGCAGAATACAAGGCCTCGACGCTTGCAGTTCAGGAGTGGATATAGCTTCGAAGACTTCTTGAAGATCTAAACGTACACATCAACAAATCAACTCCACGTTTTGGAGACAATCAAAGTGCCCTCAAACTAGTGAACATTCCTGTGTTCCACGCAAGGACAAAGCACATTGAGATCGAGCATCACTTCATCAGAGAGAAAGTACTGGATGGGACGATCGAAGCATTGGAAGTACGAAGCGAGGACAACATCGCCGATATTTTCACCAAGACGCTTCCAAAGGGAAAGTTCGAGTTTCTTCGTTCAAAACTCGGACTTGTATCCAAAAATCAAGTTTAAGGGGGAGTATTAAAATTAAACTTGATTTTAGGTTTTTTGGGCCAAAATAATTTTGGATTAAGTTTATGGATCATTGATCCAATAAACCAAACCCAATATTAATTTTGGTCCAATTTCTAGAAGTTTATATAAGAATAATATCTAGATCTAGATAATTATAATAAAAATTATATAGAAATCTCTAGATTATAAATATTTTAATGTAGATTTTTATATGAATAGTTGTAACCATGGGGTTATAAATACCCCTCCCCTTCATTTGTGTATTCAAGCAAAATCAAATAAATAAAAAGAGTCTTAAGTATAAGTCTCTCTTCTAAGTGTCCTTCCAATTTTCTTCTTAGAGTTTTCTTAATTTTTCGAGTTCTTCTTCGGGTTGTTCGATATAGAGCCAGTGCTAAGCACTGCAAGAGGATATTCTTGGTCTCCTCTTACACACACCCACCAATCCCGAGCTAGCCCTAATTGATGACCGTCAAACAACCACGCTTTGGAATTTACGTGATGAATATTTTGTCGTCAAATTACAGATGCATTAATGCAAAACTAATACACAAGGACCACTATTTAAAATTTTATGCTTTTGTATATACGTGTGCGTTTGTTTCTCTGTTTGTGTATGTCGTGAAGTGCATAGAAAACAAGCTCAACAGAAAACAAGCGATCTGAATCGTGATTTTTTCAATTCATTAAAAAATAAGCCTAACAAGTTCAATGAGCCTCACTCAGCGAACTGCTCAGCGAGCTGATTTTTTTTAAAAATAAATTAAATTTATATAAAAAAAATTCTAATATAATTTTATATTCTTTTTTCATATCATTCATATGATATTATAAATATCCTAATTATTATGATGGTGATAATTGAAAATATTAAATGATATTGAAGTTTTATTAATTTTTTATATATTTATTTAAATTTATAGTTAAATTTAGAATAAATATAAATAAAAAATATTATATATCTCTGGTTATCAGAAAACTCGCGAGCAGTTTGAGTCGAGGTTTTTCTGGTTCGTTAGAAAACGAGTCTAACGAGTTGAGTCCAAAATGATTCGAGCCAAACGAGCCGAGTTTCAAACGATCCGAATTGGCTCCGTTGACATCCCTATTGAAGGGTATAATATTCAAACTTCGTATTTTATAAAAAAAAAATAATGATAACTGATTCTTGCCTTTTTTTGCTGTATATATCTATGTAACCACGATCAGTTTCGTTTTTTATTAGATGAATTTTACCAAAATTGTCGGTAATTATCTTTTATTTTCATGGCACAATTGCCAATTATTATCTAAAAATGACTAGGTTTTTAATTTATTTTTATCTAACCACGTATTCCCGAGATATCTGCTTCGGATTTATCCTTGAATTTTTATAAATTAATGCCATACATCATATCTGAAAAATAATTGGATTATTGAAGAAAACTGCAGAAAATTTATTTGTGGCCGGCGATTTTAAATTAATAAAAGGAAATGAATTTTCAAAATATAGAATAAGAAAAAGGTAAAACAAAAAAAAAACATTTTGCATGCATCACGTTGGCAATGCCTATCGCTACGTGCTTAATTTTAATCCATATATGAATTTTCGTGTATCCCGCAAACTCAGAGAATCATGTACACATATGCATGTACATACATATATATAAATATATGTTATTTTTTCTAAAAAATAGAAAATAGAAAAATCCTTTTTTTCCATGCTCAAACAAATAGCATAAATCGACCCGAAAAAAACGAGTGGCTTTGAAAAATCTCCTTTTTCATCTGTCTAAGTCCTTTTCTCTTCGTCCTTCACAAAACCCACCGAAACTCCAGTACTCTGCAAGAAGAAAAAAAAAACAGAACTCAAAAAAAAAAAAGACGAACCCAGAAACAGAACAAGGGGAACGAATCCGTAAAGCAATTGTCGGAAGGAAAAAAGAAATGGAGAATAACGGAGCGGAGAAGACAGTGGTAACGATAAAGGGCACTTTGAGTTTACTGAGGCAAAGCATAGAAGAAGAAGAAGAAGAAGAGAGATCGAAGAGAATAATATCACTGGGGATGGGAGATCCGACGGAATATTCGTGTTTCCGTACAACAAAAGTGGCAGAAGAAGCTGTGTCCGAAGCTCTTCTCTCTCACAACTTCCATGGCTATGCCCCCACCGTTGGCCTCCCTCTCGCCCGAAGGTCTGGCTCTTCTTTTCGATAATCTACAACTCTCTGTGTGTGTATGTGTATATATATCTGCTCATGCATTTAGACATTTGTCTTTCGTTCGTTTGAACCTGTGACAACGACCTAACCTTTGTTGTCTCTCGGTTAAAGTCTCGACAAGTGAGAAAATGTTATATAAATAAGCGGATTTGAATTTTAAAATTCTTAGAAAAATGCATAATTTTTTTACTACTAGGATTCTACAAGAAATCTAAAAAAAGTACACGGAATTTTACAAAAGTTCCCAAAAACATTACACGATCAAATAAGAAACGATATCAATTCTTTACCAAAAAAAAAAAAGAAACGATATCAATTGTCATGTACTAGTTTTTTTTGGAAGTATTTGTAAAATTCATTATTTAATTTAAGAGCTCGCAAAATTTCGTATTTTTTTTTGGAATTTTAAAGTTACTCCCTCCGTTTCAAAATAATTATTGTTTTAGATTATTTCACAGTTGTTTTAGATTATTTCACATTTTTTTAAGAAAAGATAAAAAATTACATATACTTTTATTTAATGATAAAAATAATGTTATCATTAATAATTTATTGGAATTTGATATGGATAAAATTGGAAACTATTGTAAAAAAATATTTTAAAAATATAGAATGACAAATATTTTGAAACATAAAAAATAATCTAAAACTATAAATATTTTGGGAGTAGTTTATTATCTAGAATTTATAACAAATCCCTCTATTTTATATAGGATTTTTTATTTGTTTTTAGTAAAACTCATATAGAATTATGAGAAATGCAGCTTGCATATACTAATTAATACGAAAACTTTAGAATTGCATGAATTCTATGTAATTCTCGATTAAGCCCATTTGACGGTGATCTCACAACAGGGCCATAGCAGAGCATCTCTCGCGTGATCTTCCGTACAAACTCACGCAAGACGATGTTTTCATCACGTCTGGATGCACGCAGGCCATTGATGTGGCATTGACGATGCTCGCTCGGCCCGGAGCCAACATTCTTCTTCCCAGGCCCGGTTTTCCTATTTACGAACTCTGTGCCAAGTTTAGACATCTCCAAGTTCGGTTCTTTGATCTTCTCCCCGAAAAAGGCTGGGAGATCGATCTTGACACTGTCGGATCTCTTGTGGACCAAAACACTGTCGCATTGGTGGTTATAAACCCTGGTAGCCCGTGTGGGAACGTGTACAGTTGCCAGCATTTGGAGAAGGTTAGGCATTTCTTTTTTTTTTTGGGGTAACCGGGTATTCTAGGCCGAGGCCCAGACTAATACCGGGGCCGGAGAGAAGTCATGTGAATACCTTCTCACCAGCCTGGGATTCGAACTCAGGGTGGGACAGATGTAAACTTTTCTTTCTTGCATATGAAGACACTGAAAAGAATGGTGTTGTCTCTTGAGTTGATGTATCAGTTTTTGTCTTCGTGTTTAGATTGCAGAAACGGCGAAGAAACTCGGGATTCTTGTCATTGCTGATGAAGTTTATGGTCATCTTGCTTTCGGGAGCAAACCCTTTGTTCCAATGGGTGTCTTTGGATCTACAGTTCCGGTTCTCACTCTTGGATCTCTGTCTAAAAGATGGATAGTGCCCGGTTGGCGGCTCGGGTGGCTCGTGATTACTGACCCCTTTGGCTCGTTTAAAAGCCCCAAGGTCCATAGATTCAATCTCTCTCTCTCTCTCTCTCAGATTTGCTGGTTCCGGTGATATAAAAGATCGATGGATGAGCAAATATGTGTCGTGTTATTGATCGTTTTATTCTTTAGCTCAGATCATTGAGCATTCCTGATGAAGTGGTGATGTACGATGATGAGTTGCCAACAACAGCGGTTCAAGAAGTACTTTGATATTCTTGGAGGACCAGTGGCGTTCATTCAGGTACTCGAGCATTGTGTTTTGGACAACATGAAACTGCGTCTTACTCCGTCCATTCCTTACATTTCTTGTTTCTTTGTTTGATATTCGTGTTTCTGTCTTTGACAGGCCGCAGTTCCTAAAATCCTGGAACATACCGACGAGCAGTTCTTCAAGAAAACGCTGAAAACGCTGAAAAATTCGTCGGATATTTGTTACGAACGGATCAAGGAGATTCCTTGCATGGACTGTCCTCAGAGACCAGAGGGATCTATGGCCATGATGGTGAGCCGAAAACACACACGCAAACAAAAAAAAACATTAATCTTTCTGTGTTTTAAGGATCTAAACTTTGCAACTATACAGATCAAGCTGAATCTGTCATTACTGGAAGATGTGAGCGATGACGTGGACTTCTGTTTCAAGCTTGCAAGAGAGGAATCGGTTATTGTTCTTCCCGGTGAGTATATCATCTTTGCACAGCCAAAATTATGTGTTCAAGGTCATGTTGTGGATAAAACTGCGAGTAGAATTAGGGTTTTTAACCTAAGGTTTTCACATATTATACATGCATATGTATGTTCACTGTTTATCATACGGGTTGAAGAGAACCCAAAATTCGAGTATCCGACTCGATCCATAGGTCAGATACCTGAATATTCTATGATCATGATCAGATTGGATATATTATATTTAGGAAAATCCGAAATCGGATATAAATGTATGAGACGGGTAAGAGAAATTCATTTACCGTTTTACCCATATATTTAAGTTATGACATAAAAACTAAAACTAGGTTTCATTCTCCCTTATTACTAATCTTTTTCGGTTCACATTTTGGTTTCAATATTGATAAATTTAGAATGTATTTCACATGGTTTTTAACGTAAAAATACATTTGATTGATTTTGGATAAATTTATACGTATAAATGTGTGAACATTAAATCAAAATATATTTGAAATATGCAGGTTCTTTACCCTCGATTACCGAATATTATCTAGTAAATATTCAGATTCAGAGATCCAAGGCATGGATATGAAATCGGATAATGAGATACATAATTCGAAAATTTGGATTCGAATTCGAGTACCTTGAAAATTTCGAATACCTAACCCGTGTCTATCCCGATATAATACGGGAAGAAAACCTAACCTTTTCATGATATATATATATATTAACCGGTTGGTGAGCATATATAGGGACGGTGGTGGGGATGAAGAATTGGCTGAGGATGACGTTCGCGGCGGACCGATCTTCTCTTGACGAAGCGTTCAAGCGGATAAAGTGTTTTTATCTCAGGCATTCCAACAAATCCATGGAGCTCTAATCGTTATATATATTCATGTTACAGTAAATATAGTGTTTTCTCTTCAAGTTAGTGTATATATATAATTTTGGACCGATGAGGTTATTATAATGAAATATTTAAATAAATTGGAAAAAAAAGGCTTCGACATTTTTGGGGCAAGTGCATGAACATAAAAAAGGATTGAGAGAGTCTATTTCGGATGTAACCATCTAATCAAGAGAAGTCTTCAAGTGGACACACCATGTCTTTAATGCTTGGTACATGTCCGAAACAAAGTTTTTAGATTTATTATGAGAAAATTATTAAAAAACTTAATTTTATATTTTGATATTACATTCAATATTGAGAAAATATACTCAGAAAAAAACAATTAGTGTTGTATATTTTGGTCTCGAATCAAATACTGGTCAGAGACCATTATTATTATTTTTCGATTTGAAATAAGCTAATCGTTTAATTGAATACCAAATATACATTTTCTCTTGTATCATATGATAAGTAATATACAAACTGAATAAAACTATTGGGCCGTAAACCGGAATCGAATCATTTTGGTTATCTGTTTGATAAAGGGCCGGCAATAACGTTTAAGGCCCAATGCATTAAGGGGGTTGTGAATATTTATATTATACCCTTTGTGTTAAGACTCGATAAGCATAGTTTAAAACAATAGATAATGTGATTTTAAATAAAAAAGTATTTAATCATATAATATTTCTACGTATACATCGCATAATGTAACTAAATCAAAGTGGTTACGAGACGACCAAACCACGTGAATATATGCATGCATCTAAAAAAGAAGACTCTAATGGAATAATTAATTATTCAACCCTAAACAAATTTACTTAAATATGGTTTATTATCTTATCAAAATTCATTCGTCACTATTTCTGTATTTGTCAGATATGAACACACGTACCCCAGTCGGATGAGATGAAGCCAAGTCTGAATTTCCATAAAAGGAAAAACATGGGAAATAATAATTAAAAAGAAAACCCAATGTGTTATGTCTTAATCCCTGTATTATCACTGCGTATATATATATGTATATATATATGTATGTATATAGCTGCAATACTCACTTTCTATGGGAAACAGCAGCAATAACTGAAGAAATCCAAACATGGAAAGATCCCAAACTCAAACCAGAAACAGAAGAAAGAGATTGGGACAAGATCAAATCAGAGTGTTGGAGAAGAGTTTCGTGATGAACAAGAAACCGGAGCCAGAGATCAAGATTCGACTGGCGAATCAGCTGGGTTTGCCTCCGAGACAAGTCGCCGTCTGGTTCCAGAACAAGCGAGCCAGGTTCAAGACTCGGGCCCTCGAGCTCCAACACGGCTCGATCATGGCGAGGCTTGGAACCGCTTTGGCTGACAAGTTAAGGCTCGAACGTGAAGTGAAGTTGCTCCAAGAAGAGTTGGAGAAATCGAGGGAACAGCTCTCGTTGCTGATGACGAAGCATCCAGTTGATGGCAGATCTTGTGAAGATGGTCATGATCAGGTTATGGAGTTCGACCAGCTTTATGCTTGTCTGGTTAGCAGTGGACATGGTTCTCCATCAGTCTCGAACTGGACAAGATTTCAGTTCTCGTCTTAATTATGAAACGTTTCATGTTCTTTCAGTTTGTAAAGCTGTCCTTCCAGTGCCAGATTCATGTCATAAGACATTTTATCATCTGTAACTGAAGTCCTTATAGATCTGTAGTTTTGTGTGAATAATTCCTAAAGCAGGAAACAAATTCCGCTTCACTGTTCGTACAGGAGAAGGAAGAACAGGATTCATGGTTATCCTTTATGGACCAGATTCTGCAATTCCTCTACCAACTTATCAACATAACCACTCATTAATCCTGGATTAACCAAAGCCGCCTTCCATTTCTTGCGATTCTTCCTCGGGGAATTCCCGGTCTCGCTATCGTTATCCTGTTGGAAATTATTTTATTTATTAATTTCTATAATGTAGGAAGTTTATTAACTTCCGTAAATAACTTACCCATTATGGTGATGGTCCAATATTTACTCCATGTTCTGCTAACTGTCTTTGATAACCACTTGATAACTGAAATCTTTTTTGATGGGAAAAAGACTATAAAGATCACGTATAGTATTGAGGTCCCTAAGCCAAGCAAACTTTCAGAATATACACCATCGTTATTGTGTTGCTCATGGTTTAGAAGCACCAAAGTATTCAAATTTCAACTCAATTTCAATGGCTGGAGGTATGTTTTTTCCGATCCAGAATTTTATTTCCGCATTCATGATCTTGTATGTTAAAGTGTTGCATATTGAAGATCATGATTTAGATGAGTTTATAGAATTTTAAACTTACATTTGGTATCAGAGCCTGGTTATCCTCTGCTTTGAAAACTTATGTTATTTTTTTTTTAAATTCTGTATTCCATTTCGTTAAGGAATATTTAGTTTTATGATGCATTAATAATTTTTCATCCAAATTTATGAACCTGTAAAATAGTGGATGAAATCTTCTGATCTTTTCTGTATTTTTCATCCAAATTTATGAACCTGTAAAATAGTGGATGAAATCTTCTGATCTTTTCTGTGCTAGATCATTTAGAAATTTCTGTAAAAATACCCATGATATATATATATATATAATATCTTGGTGGTTGTTCGAAGTAGATCTGTGGTATTTGTCTTCGTTTCTGTGATTCGGCGACGTATGATTATGTTCTTGGATTTGCTATCTATAGCGACATTTATGAAGCGACCTTGGTGATGACCGTTAGTCATGGTCACCACCGGAGTCATCATTGTCGTTGAAGAAAAAAAAAGGGTTAGAGAACAGAGAAAGAGCCGCCGCTGAATGGAATAATGAATCTCAGATAACGAAGACAAAGATGGCTAGGGTTCCTGATTTATTTTATTTAAAAGGGAAAATGGAAAAAAAAACCTAAACTTTTTAATTTTGGAAGATTAATACCCAAATTTCTGATATCCTCCAATAAATCCTGAACTCTCATATTCGTATCATATTTGACCCTGGCTAATGACGTGGCATTCTAATTATTAACACGTCAAAATTATAGTTTCATTTGGATTGACATGTAAATACCACAAAATATTTTTGGACATGTCAGCAATTGTATTTTTTATTTTTTAAATATAAAATTAAATCGTTCAAACCGTTCTTTTTTTCCTCTCACAATCGACAAACCCTAAATCCCTAAAATAAAAGCCGCCTCTATTGTTCGTCCCCAGGAATACTCAGTGTTGTCTTCTCCAAGTCACCTTCTCGAAGTCATCTTCCAGCACTTTCTCGAAGTCATCATATGGAGTAAGTTTTCTTTTAATAATAATTTCTATGTTTGCAATAATTTCTCTGCATGTGCTAAATATATATATGATACATGTGTCAACGTCCATGTGTGTCTGCATGTATCTGTGTATTTATGTGTGTCCGCATGTATTTGTGTGTATATGTTTTAATGTGTGTGTATGCGTGTTTGTATTAGTGTGTGTTTATGTATGTGTCTATATGTTTGTGTCTATGTCTGTATATTTGTGTATGTGTTTGTGTATATGTGTGTGTACGTGAGGTTGATGTCTAATATGTGTAGGGTTGTGAAGTTGAATATCCATTACGGTGGAATGTTGGACAAAGAGGATGGACACTGGAAGTATTTCGGTGATTTTGTGGAGGAAATGTTAGAAATTGATCCAGATTACTTGTCGTGGTTTCTATTTGAGGACTTTTTACACAAGCGGAATACATCATCTGCCATTTATGAAATCTGGTACAAAACTCCACATGAGAAAATGGATGAAAGAAAGCAAATTCGAGAACTTGTTGATTTGGAAATTCGTCAGATGATTGCTGCAGCAAAAGTATCAGGGGAACTAGACGTGTTTATTGAACAAGAGGTATCGGAGCCAACACCAGTAATAGTTTTGCAGCAACAGTCTGAGAATTTAGATGGTAACAGTGATGAAGATAACCAACAAGGAGACAATGATGGAATGGATAACTTTGGAGATAGTGTTTCTGATGAAGAGGAGAATGAAGTAGGTTTGGAAGAAGGAGATAACATTCCTGATGAAGTGGTGATGTACGATGATGAGTTGCCAACAACACCGCAAAACATGGATGATGAGTTTGAAAATCCAGTTGAAAAACCGAATCCACCTGTTTTTGATGAGGCTACAATTGACCCACCGTTATAGTTGGTAAGATGTTTAACAATTGACCCACAGTATATGTTGGTAAGATGTTTAACTCAGTTGACGAGGTTAAAGATGCATTCTTTAAATATGTCTTGAAGTATAAGTTTGAAGTGAAGATCAATAGGATGGAGCAGAAGAAAATATCTGCAATTTGTGATCATCCAGATTGTTCATGGAGAATATATGCTTCGGTTGATGTGACGAAGGATAAATGGATAATCAAGACTTATAACAACGATCACAATCATATACCAAAGCGTGAGTCTAAGATGTTGAAGATGAGAACAATTGCCAATATGTTTCTGGATCAATTACGATCAGACCCAACGTATCCAGCAAAAGAAATGCAATATGAAATCAAGAGGTGTTTTAATATAGAAGTCTCGAAGGGTATATGCTATAAGGCTCGGAGTGTAGGTTTGAGAATTGTGATGGAAGATCAAAAAGTTCAGTTCGCCAAGTTGTGGGATTATGAGGCAGAGATTAGAAGATCTAATCCCAACACAACAACGGAGATTGGAACTGTGTCTGGGATTCAGGGTCGACAATTGTTTCACCGTTTTTATGTGTGTTTTGAGGCACTCCGTGAGACATTCAAAAAGTATTGTCGGCCTGTGATAGGATTAGACGGATGTTTTTTGAAATGGTCTTTAAAAGATCAACTACTCGCTGCAATTGGAAGAGATGGAAACAACCGAATGTACCCAATTGCATGGGCAGTGGTACGTGTGGAGGATAACGATACATGGTCTTGGTTTGTGAGGAAGCTGAAACAAGATTTATGCCTTGGGGATGGAAGAACTTTAACTATAATATCTGACAAACAAAAGGTAATGATATTATCGTGTGTATTGATATTGATTATACTACATGTTGTGTAGTATTATTGATTATATTTTATTTTGTAGGGTTTGGTTAATGCTGTTGCAAATTAGTTACCTCGTTGTGAGCATCGCATGTGTGCCGTCATATATATGCTAATCGGAGGAAAACATACAAAGAGATTGACTTGAAGTATTTATTTTGGAACATTGCAAATGGTCTTCATGAAGGTGAATATGAACAACACATGCAAGCCTTAAAGGAACTAAACCCTGCAGCACATGATGCAATCATTGCCTCTCAACTGAGAAAATGGTCCAAAGCATTTTTCCGGACATATTCGCATTGTGAGGATATTCTGAACAATATGACAGAGAGTTTTAATATGTCTATCAAGACCGCAAGACAACGCCCTATTATTGATATGCTCGAATCCATTCGGAGGCAGACTATGACTCGGATATCACAAAGGTCAACGGAGGCAAGTAGATGCAAGAGTCAACTCACTCCATATGCTATGAAGATGTTGGAAAAAAATCAGGAAAGGACTCGGTTCTGTATGTCTACACCTAGCGGATATGGTAGATACGAGGTGATGGACTTTGGAACATTGCACTCATTGGATCTTGCTTCAAAAAGGTGTGCATGTCGTAAGTGAGATTTGACTGGCATTCCGTGTGAACATGTATTGTGTATTATATCCAGTCGAGGAGAACATGTCGAAAGGTATGTATCCGACCACTTTACAAGGAGTAGATTGGAACAAACTTATGAACGTAATATATTGCCTGTGAACGGAGAAACCTTTTGGATAAAAACTCATAAAGAGCCAATCGGTGTACCTAAGAATCGAAGACTTCCTGGTCGACCTAGAAAATTCAACAGACTTAAGGATGCACACGAGAAGGATGGACATCTTACACGACATGGACGTCGAATGCCTTGTAGTCAATGCAAAAAGCAAGGGCATAATGCCAAGACTTGTAAGAATGAACCTGTTCAGGATTATGGTCCTTCTCGAGCACGTGGACGACCACGAAAATTTCGGGTATGCGTTTTTTCTTTGCAATGTTGTTTATCTTCATTTATTGGTTAATATATTGTTCTCTTTTCTATTTTATAGGCTTAGGGAGAATCAAGTTCGACTGCACCAATCCGGCAGACATCATCTGCTCAACCTAGACGCAGTGAAGGCTCGTGCTCCTCGATACCAAGTCAGACAGGTCAAGCCGCGCAATCTGCATTTCCTAAGCCGCGGAACAGACGTCATGAACTCCGAATAACTTCTGCGAATACGGAAATACCTTCTAGGACTTTCCTATCACCTTACACAGGGAGAGAGTTTAGGCCGCCCCGACACGTACAAAATGGCGAAAAACAAGACAACTAGTTTTTTTTTTGCATACATGTCAGTCCGGATCATATGGATGAATACTCATCTTTTTTTTTTTACGACTTTCGAAATATTATGTTGCATTGTCATGGATTCTCATCTTGAAATGTTAAGTATTTGGACTACGCAATTTATGGATATTTATGTTTAGTTTTCAGGTTTAGTTGACTTTGTCGATTGTGAGGGGAGAAGATAAAAGGCGATCTGATCCCTTTTTATGCTTTCTGAAATTCAATCGATTTAATTTTATATTTAAAAAATAAAAAATACAATTGCTGACATGTCAAAAAATATTATGTGGCATTTACATGTCAATCCAAATTAAACTACAATTTTGAGGTGTCAATAATCGGAATGCCACGTCATTATCCAGGGTCAAATATGATACGAATATACGAGTTCAGGATTTATTATAGGATATCAAAAGTTTAGGTATTAATCTTCCAAAATTAAAAAGTTTAGGTTTTTTTTTTCCATTTTCCCTATTTTAAAAATTTTTTTTAATGAGAATGGGTCTCAATTGGGCTTGAAATTGGGCCATGGCTTAGATTGGTTGGAACAACCACTAGGCCGAAGTTGTATTTGAGTATTACATTATTATATTTTTATATATTTAGATTCGTAAATGAATATTACGAATTCAAGTTCGAACCCAGAACCTTGGATTAGTGTATGGGAAAGCACAGCCACTGGGCTAAGCCTGTTTCTCAACATTACGTTGTCTTTATTTAATATATGTCTTGTGATCTGTATAATTTATCCTAATTAGAATTTTGCCACAGCATCTCTAATTAGAATAAAATTATACATAAATTTTGATTTTGGATCATATTTAGTTAAAGACATTGATTGTAATTAATCGTATCGATATAATAAAATTTATCCCACAGGAAATTTTATTATATTAATGTAATTAATTAGGGTGAAAAGTCGATTATGTTTCTTGATTTACCCACAGGGATTGAGAAATGAATATAATTTGATGGTTTCATCATTAAACTAAATGAATCTATTTGAATTAGAAACTTAGCCCACATGCAGTTTTTATGTCATATGATTCATATTGTTGATGTTTTTACATTGGTAAAACGTCACATAAAGTTGCCTTAATTTTATTAACATAAGCATGTATATTGATCTGTTCTGTGCAGTTTTTCAACTTGTGAATGTCTCTGACATGAAATGCGATATTCCCGAGCTCAAAGGGGATAACTATAAGGTGTGGAAGGAAAGAATCCTGCTTCATTTGGGGTGGATGGACATTGACTATGCTATTCAGAAAGACGAACCACCTCCGATTACTGAGGAGAGTACGCCTGAAGAGATTGAACTTTATGAAAGGTGGGAGCGATCTAATCGCCTCAATGTTATGTTCATAAAGACAAACATCTCGTCTGGCATTCGGGGTTCGGTCGAGCAGTATGACAATGTCCGTATGCTACTGAAGGCTATTGATGAACAATTTGAGCCTTCAGATAAGCCATTGGCGAACACCCTGATTATGAAGTTTTCCACTTTGAGGCTCACCAGTACCAAAGGAGTGCGTGAACACATCATGCAAATGAGGGATTTAGCGGCTCAACTCAAAACACTTGAGGTTACCATGTCTGACTCTTTCCTTGTGCATTACATTTTGAACTCTTTGCCGCAGCAATACGGACCCTTCAAGATCTCTTACAACACACATAAGGATAAATGGTCGATCAACGAACTGTTGAACATGTGTGTTCAAGAGGAAGGGAGGTTGCTTATGGAAGGTGGAGAGAGTGTGCATTTGACAACTCAAGGAAAAGTGAAATACCAAGCCAAAAAGAAAGGGAATGAAAAATTGATTTCTCAAGGAAACATCAAGAAGGAATCCAAGTGTTTTTTCTATAAGAAGAAGGGACACATGAAGAAGGATTGCCAGAGATTCCAAGAGTGGCTTGTTAAGAAAGGTAACCTCAAGTGTTTTGAGTAGAAGGGACACATGAAGAAGGATTGCCAGAGATTCCAAGAGTGGTTTGTTAAGAAAGGTAACTCACTTACACTCGTTTGTTATGAATCTAATATGATCGATGTCGGTCACAACACATGGTGGATTGATTCTGGTTCTACAATCCATGTTACGAATTCTCTACAGGGTTTGCAAAATCTAAGGAAGCCAGTGGGAAGTGAGCAATGCATCTGTTCGGGAAACAAGATGCGCTCACATGTGGAGGCTGTTGAAACATGTTATCTAGTTTTAAGTAATGGTTATGTACTTATGTTGGAAAAGACCTTTTATGTTCCTGGTTTTTCTAGGAATTTAATTTCTGTTTCAAGACTTGTACCTTTTGGATATTCCTTCAACTTTTCAGACTATGGTTTCGATCTTATCTATAAATCTGATATTGTTGGGAATGGTACATTGTCTGATGGTCTTTTTCGACTTAATGTGCAAAATGATAACGTTTATGCTACGATGCATGTTCATGCCGGTATTAAAAGATGTGTTGTGAATGAAGAATCCTCTATGTTATGGCATCGGAGATTGTGACACATCTCCATTGAGAGGGTTAAGAGATTAGTAAAAGATGGGGTACTTAGTACTCTAGATTTTTCTGATTTCGAAACCTGTGTAGACTGCATAAAGGGAAAGCAGACTAACACATCAAAGAAAGGTGCAAAGAGGAGTTCGGATCTATTAGAGATCATACATACGGATATATGTTGTCCAGACATGGACGCATATCGACAGAAATATTTCATCACTTTCATAGATGATTACTCGCGATACATGTATCTCTACATTCTTGATAACAAGAGTGAGACTAGATGCTTTTAAACTCTATAAGGCAGAAGTAGAGAAACAATGCGGTAAGCAAATGAAGATCGTGAGATCAGATAGGGGTGGTGAATATTACGGTAGATACACTGAAAATGGACAAGCACCCGGTCTTTTTGCGAAGTTTCTTGCCGAACATGGGATTGTTGCCTAATATACCACACCTGGTTCTCCGAGCCAGAATGATGTAGCAGAAAGGAGAAACCGAACATTATTGGACATGGTGCGGAGTATGTTATCATACTCTAAACTTCCTAAGTCCTTGTGGAATGAAGCTCTTAAAACGGCGGTGTACATATTAAACCGAGTTCCAACCAAGGTTGTCTCAAAGACACCTTTCGAGTTGTTTAAAGGTTGGAAACCGAGTTTGTGACATGTGCGCATTTGGGGATGTCCATCTGAAGTAAGAGTTTATAATCCACAAGAGAAGAAGTTAGACCCGAGGACCATTAGTGGTTATTTCATTGGATATGCCGAAAAGTCTAAGGGATACAAATTTTATTGTCCATCTCACAGTACACGGATTGTGGAGTCAAGAAATGCAAAATTTCTTGAGAATGACTTGATTAGTGGGAGTGACAGATCATTAGGAGAAAAGTCTGAGAGTGATCACTCTATTTCACAACCTTCTACTTCAAGTCACCTTCGAACTGTTGTCGTTCGTCGCACTTATCCAGCTCCAGTGCGTGTTGAGCAACCAGTTCCCGAACCTCCATAAGCTGATGATCCGGTAGATCATGTTCAACAAATGCCTGAAATTGTTGAACCGGTTGTACAACATGATCCTCAGAAAAATGTTGATACAACATTGAGACGATCTAGTAGAGTACGGAAATCAGCAATTCCGGATGACTATATGGTGTATCTACAAGAGTGTGAGTATAATGTTGGAGTCGAAAATGATCCTGAAACGTTTTCACAAGCCATGAGTTGTAAGGAATCTGACTTATGGTATAGTGCCATGAAAGATGAGATGGATTCGATGGCATCGAATGAAGT